ACAGCTGATCTAGTAGTAGTTAGTCATCTTTCACTTTCACTGTTGTCAAACTAGAAGGCAGATCATTCCTGATGACGCTGCGCTTCTGTGAGTGTGTGGTTAGTTAAGCGCTGGTTTAATAACACTAGTCTTTGGTGCTCAGGTCAGCAGGAGCAGGTTTTGTTGGTCAAGGGTCACACACGACCTTCACATCAGCGTCATCTGCTTTCCTTCCTTTGACTTTAGCTTTATAAATTCTATTTGATTTTATAAATTCATTTTTAGTGTACCCACATATAGATTTCTATCTGGCGACCAAGACAGGGTTGCAAACTTCACATAAAAGAGTCTGTTTGACTTTAGATTGATATGCTGAGGTTGTCACTTTTTTTATTGTAAAACATATAATACACACATAATCAGGGAAAATATGACTATCTCTAACAATATTAACATCAACAAAACAAACATGTGTTTACGTACACAGACAGAAAAAAGCAAAATAATAAGCCTAACATTTGTCTTTTAACATGTCCTCATAAAACATCAAAAATGTGCTTTTGTTGTTGTTTATAAGCCTGAGGGATGAAATTAGAGAGTTAAATTCAGCAAGGAAAGATGGAAGACACAAAGAAGACTTCTAGCTTATGGATAAAGAACTTTGCATACAAAATAAATAAATTAATAACATATTCAAAAGAAACGTGTTTTGGGTTTTCATAATAATGTTACAATCACATCATCGTCAAGAAACAAACTTTCCTGAACGAGTTTCTAGCTCTTTCGCTCAGTTGTAAAGTACTCTATTGGCCTGATTGTGTTTACATATAATACTGCCAAATTATTACACACATACAATATTACAAAAACAAACATGTCTATGGAAAATAGTGATTTATGACATTGTATCATGTTTTTTGTAGTTTTTTTGTTAAGTAAAAATTATACTTTTGTTTTTTAAATAAAAAGATCAAATTATAACTTTTGGGGTAAGATGGGTTACCCAGATGTTTTTAAAATAACGTGTAATTATTGTTTAATTTAATACTCATTGTAATTGCCTAGTTTATTATTCAGTATTTCTATGAATTAGATGAACATTTCAGACATCTTTGCTTTCATTAAAACCTGAAATCATTCAATGTGCGCTCATAGTGATGTTATTATGACATATCTTCAATTAAAATATGGCTAATTAAATATGTAAATATTCACATGCCTCTATACAAAGCCATACAATAAATGCTCCTTTCAGATGAATCTAATTTTACTGGGATTCTGCTTTGTTTGTCATCAGTTATTAAGTCAGTGTCAAAAAACAATTTTATAATATATATTTAATTGAGTATTTTACATGTAGGGTTAGGGACAGCTGTAACGTCTCTCTCTCTTCTGCGTGTGTGTAGATTGTGATGTTGTCCGTCTCAAACACTTATATCACACAACACACCATTGTGCCCGTTTGAACGCTCTCACACACACACACACACACACACACACACCTTTGTGCCTGTTTGAACGCTCTCTCACACTCACTCACTCACTCACTCACACACACACACACACACACACACTGGCGTCTCTATGGCAATGAAAGCCTGTGTTTGTGTTGTTGGAGGTTGAATTAGGTCATGTTTGTGGCTCATAGGTTAACAGAATCCGCACTGTCACACGAGCTCCAGCACAAACACACTGATTTGTCATGTAAACAGACAGTTTTCATCCGTTTCTCCAGTGTTTGGATTCTTCTGAACCTCGAACACTAAAGATTCAGAATTTCATTCGAGAGATTCTGCGTTCTGATTGGTTGTGGTCTGTTAAGCCCCTCCCACTGAGGCCGTTGCAGGACGTCCTGGACTGGTCTCTGTCTCAGAGTCTGTGTGATGCTGAGGCTCCTGGGCCGGGGAGTTTCACTCACATTGAATCTTTCGTCTGATGGCTGATGTTTCCCGTCTGCGTGTCTCCGCAGGATCAGGTGTCGTCTGTGTCCGGCGCTGAAGGTCAGAGGTCAGATGAGAAGCCCAGTAAGACGCAGCAGCTCAGGAAGGTGTTTAAGGAGTACGGCGCGGTCGGCGTCTCCTTCCACATCGGAATCTCGCTCATTTCTCTGGGAATGTTCTACCTCGTCGTATCCAGGTCAGATTCATAGTCCTGATTTCACCAAACTACAGTCAAATCTATAACATCAAATATATATATCCATGCAAATTCATTTTCCAACAGAATGTATACATACCACTTGTTTTAATTTGTTTGATGTTTTCCTAGTTATTTCTTTAATGCTATATAAAACATCAACAGTAAAATAATTGATATCAATAAAAATAAACAATTTATTATTGAAAAAAAGATGTATCCAGGTCAGATTCATTTGTTTAACAAAACATTCAAATGTATATAATCAAATATATATTTATGCAAATATAATTAGCATTTTCAACAGAATGTACTCCACTTGTTCCGTTGTTTTATTTTTTCTAAAAGCTATATAACTCTTTTCTTGAAAAATCAATTACAAAAATAAAGTTAAAAAAAACAACTTTTTATAAAACTTTCGTGTTATAGTGTACTTACTTTTATACCTTTTTAGTTTTTATTAATATTTTCCTGTTTTCATTTTAATTTGAAAATCAATTTCAATATAAAATTTAATAAAATAACTAAATATATATTAGAAAATAATATATGTATTATAATTTTTAATTATTTAATATATTTTTTATATATGTTTATTTCAGTTTTGATTTCAGTTATTTTAGGATATCAAGTTAAACTAAATTAAAATAAAAAAATGTTGGCAACCATCTGAATATATATATAATTTTTTTATTTTATTTTAGTTTTATATATATTTTTTTTATTAATTTTTTTTTATTTTATTTGAACTAATGTGTATTTCAAGTAGCAGATTTTTTTTTATGGTTTTAGTTTATTTAATAACCTTGTATTGAACATTGGTGTCATCTTGCTCTTTTCTGCCATGTTTATAAAAGCTACAAAGCGCTTTTGGGTGGATAATTAGTGATAGATGATAGATATTGGCTAATTTTGCCAATGTTTGGTCACACTGTAAAAATGTAAAGATTATT